AGGGTTTAGGGTTTAGGGGCATGCTAACCTACAAAGCTGTTATCCTACACCCAATTACCTAAGTATTAGGTCCTTTGAACCCCTGGGGGCATTGCAAATAGGAGCTTAGGCTCCTGGTATTGGGTGTTTAGGATTATACTAACTAAGACCCTCCCCTGGTGCTCCGATAACCTACTGTTTTCAGGGTTATGCCTTATAACTAGCTTACGAGTCAAAGACCGCTATGTTGCAGGGCGTGGGGCGATGCGGGAATCCTTCAATTTTCTCTGCGCCGACCCTAAATCCCGCGAGGGTTACGGTGTTATTTGGGGGTTTATATGGTTCAGGGTTTGTATAGGGTTCAAGGTCAGTTGCATTGCACAAGCGCTAAACCCTAAACCCTAAACCGTCGAGCCCTAAACCCGAAGCCCTGTTCCAACCAGGCGTGCTGCAGTTCTCGCTCGGCCGCTTCAATCCACTGAGCTGCAGCTTGCTTTCAGCTGCTTTAGGGTTTAAGGTTTAGGGTTTAGGGTTTAGGGGTTTAGGGTTTAGGGGTTTAGGGTTTAGGGTAAAAGCCCCATAGTTACATGTAGAACCCTTAAAGCAGCTAGATGTAGAACCTTTCAATAAAAACCAGCTACATGTAGAACCCTTAAAGTAATTGCATGTAGAACCCTAAAATCAGTTTTCGGTGTATTTTTTTGGATGTTAAATTCAGCAAACTCCGACAGCCCTGAGTCAGCATTGTAAGACTCACTGACATCAAAAGCCTGCAACAAAGCCCTCGGCCCTCCACCCCAGAGCCCTAAGCCCGTTGCCAGATACCCTAAACCCTAAACCCTAAACCCTAAACCCTAAACCCTACTGAACAGTAGAAACATGGTGAAAAAGGAGAGCCCTCTCTTTCAACGAGTTATGGTGGAGGGCCCGTGACTGTCCCTGTAAGGGGGAATCGCCTAATTTGCTGTGGGTTTGTGGGTTTCGGAGGTCAGCGACCAAATCCCCCGACCCTAAGCCCTAAACCCAATAGCCTAAACCCTGAACCCTAAAAGTTCTACATCAAATGTGGACTGCTCCCCCGCCCCCACCCACCGGGTGCGCTATTAGCCATGCGTTGACTATCCAGGACGACGAGGGGGGGGGTTCAATTGATGATGCTTCCTGGGGGCTCATGCTTTTTGCGCCGCATAAAGGCCGGCGGGCCCCCCACAGTGACATAGTGCCATTCTTTCCCTTTTACCGTGGGACTCCGTTTCGAGATTCGAACCTGAACAGGACGACGAAGGAAATCCTGTATTTAAGAGGCAACTGGGCACCCTATCCATACCTAGCTTCCGGGTCTGTTCAGGGTTTGGCTAAATCCTGAACCCAAGCCATGTGAGCCAGAAACCCCAGCAACCATATATATGTATATATATATATATATATACACGTGGGCCCTTAGGGGAAAACTCCAACCCCAAACGCTAAATCTTCAAAACCCATAATCCCTAAAGCCTATGGATACTTGAACCCTTAACCTTGAACCCCCAAACCCTAAACCCTAAACCCTAAACCCTAGACCCTAAACGCCAAACCTTAAACCCCCAAACCCTATATACACCCTAAACCCTAAGCCCTAAACCCCCAAACCTTAAACCCCGAAACCCTAAACCCCAAACCTGAAACCCCGTACCCCAAACCTTAAGCCCCGAAGCCCTAAACCCTAAACCCCAAACCTTAAACCCCCAAACCCGAAACCCTGAAAACCTAAACCCCCATCCCCAAACCCTAAACCCCAAACCTTAAACCCCCAAACCCCAAACCCTGAACCCCAAACCCTAAACCCCAAACCCCTTAAACCCCCAAACCCCAAACCTTAAACCCCAAACCTGAAACCTCGTACTGTAGGGGCCTTAATAATCAGAATAGGGTTTTGGGAGCCATTATTCTACAATTATAATAAGGAACCCCCTAATTATTAAGGCCCCTACACCCTCAACCCTAAACCCCGAAACCCTAAACCCTAGACCCTAAACCCTACACCCTAGACCCTAAACCCTCAACCCCCAAACCCTAGACCCTAAACCCCCAACCCCACACCCTAAACCTTAAACCTTAAATCCT